ATGAAAAATCTCATTTTAAAACTCTTTTGTCAACTAGGAATCTCTGTTTGAGGCTGGCTCCACTTATTATGCCAACTGACACTATGCACTTTCATAACTCTAAACAGAAACCTGTACCTCCATCCAGTTTAGATAGGTTTATCAGTTAATTAGACACAGTAAGAACTTACCAGAAGTTTCCCCAAGAGTACTGGCAGAACTGGCCTCAGTGAAAATGGTGCCCCCAGGTGAACTTACTCTGATTCAGCCAATGTGATGAGGGCATCATGGATTTCGGCTATTTGGAATTGAACAGCTTTAACAATTTTAATTCTGCACTCCCAGCGACTTTTGCATGCCGGCTTAGCAGTGACATTGATATGATCTGTGATAATCGTCCAACAATGAACAGAACATAGATTCTTTGCAGAATGCTGAAGACGGACTTAGACTCCATTGAAGATATTGCAGCATCCACCACCACGAGATTGAGTGAATGTCATCCATATGGAATGAAAAACACTCCTGGGTTTTGATTAAGGATCTTGTCTGTACAACCTTGTTTTGCCCTTCACTTTTGCAACATTGTCATAACCCTGGCCCCAGCAGTCTCAGATATTTATGTCACATTCCTTCAAAGTAGTAAGTATAGTATCAGTTAGTCTTCCCCCCACCCAACCCCGTAGACTCACTCATCCACTGTTTTAAAACTAATAAAGTGCTCCTGAATGGTCACTTTGCCATCCGAACTGTCAAGGAACCTAACAGTGAAAGACATATTTTCCAAACAGCTCACATCTGGAGTGGAGTCCAATATTATGGAGTAGTACTTGGCACTCCTCAACCTTTTAAGAATGTCTTGCAGCACTTCCTTCGCCAATACTTCAATGATCTTTCTGGATTGTTTTTCCAGAGTAGCAACCCATTACCTTCCTGGAAAGTATTTATCACAAATATACTTCTTACTTTCCTAGTAATTCCATCAAACCCAGGAAGTTCCCATTGTTTGCCGTGAAGAGCCCATCAGGTGAGCCTTGAAAAGTCATATTATTATTAGAAAGATAAAGTGTTATTGTCATGAGCCTCTCTAGAATGTTTTCCCAGTGTTTTTCTCTTGTTTAATCACATGTTGAAGCTCCATGTATGCAATTATCCTGTTGTACCCTTTGCTCTGCTTT